AGGATTGTCATCTCCCATGAACACAACGCCGCCACCATCAAACTCTTTCAAGCTTGAAAACCAATCCTTGTGAGGAGTCATATGATGAGTACAACCCGTATCCAACACCCATTTAGTAGCACAATCAAATGATGAGGAAGTGGTTAAAGCAAAATAAAAAACATCTGTTTCAACTTCAGCAACATTGGCTTTAGAATTTTCTTTTCCTTTGGTCTTCAACTTAGGACAATCTTTCTTCCAATGACCCTTATTATGACAAAAGGCACATTCATCCCTTTCCAAGGTTTTTCTACCTTTAGAGTTTCCTCTAGGTCGAGAGTGTGATTTTTTTCTACTAGAAGATGACTTCCTCTCCGATGATCTACCTCTAACAAATAAAGCTTCAGAGGTACTATCATGATTTTTATCTCTATGCCTCATTTCATAATTCATCAAGGCATTTGACACATCTTCAAATTTCACAGTTTCTTTACCATGCATAATAGTGGTAACAAAATGCTCATAAGAGTCCGGCAAGGAATTCAACAATATTAAGGCCTTATCTTCATCCTTAATATCCTCATCTAAATTTAACAAGTCGGCAATCAACTTATTAAAAGCATCAAGGTGTCTAATCATTTTTGTACCTTTTTTGTATTGAAAGCGGTAGAGCTTTTTCTTCAAGTGTAGCCGGTTCTCTGCACTCTTCGTCATATACTTGTCTTCCAATTTTTGCCACAATACACTTGCTACCGTCTCCCGCATCACAAAATACTTCTGAGTTTTTGCAAGGCACAACCGAATTGAAGAGCAAGCCAACAAATTTAATTTCTCCCATTCCGGCTTCGACATAGCTTCCGGCTTCTCTCCCAAAGCGGCAAGTAGATCTTGTTGAGCCAACACATCTTTGACCTCACATTGCCACATCCCGAAGTTGTTTGTGCCATCAAACTTTTCCACTTCGAACTTTGCATTTTGCACCGTAGTTCTTGCAAACCCGGAGCTGCTTCCAAAAGGATTCTCATCTTGCCCATCTGACATCTTTGGCAACTAGACAGTACCCAAGAGCAACCAATGCTCTGATACCAATTGTTGTGCTAAGATAGCACCAAACCCGTTGGAACCAACTCAAGCTAACCCACAGGAAATTTACCAAATGAAAATGCAAGAACAAAATATTAAAGACACCAAGATTTTAGGGTACTGTCTAGTTGGGAGTTTACAAAGTGTTGGCAATCTCACAACCCAAATAACCCAATACACCCAATAACTCTCACACTCTAAAGAAACAAATAGAGAAAGAAATATAGTGATTAATTTCTTCTCTATACAAAGCTCATAGCTATTACAACAATAACACTTTGATGGAGTGAGAACTATCCAATGAAAGGAACAACAACTCCTTCTCTCAAAATGGTACTGCAGCAGTACCTTCTTTCTCTCCTCTCTTCTCTTCGGCTCACCAATTTTTCTGCTCTCTTAAAAAAACAAAAGGGCAGCAGCTCCCTCATCATAACATAGCCTTCATTCAAGTCACCCCGTGACTTCCCATGGACCAAGAAAACTTTAGACAAAAATCCCTTTTCTTTTCCCCAAAATAAGGAAGAGACATAATTATTTTGTCTACCTTTTTCTTTATAATTTTTTATAGTCAAAAGTTGAATGAATTATTTGGCCACTTGGCCACATACTCCAACAGTATGGGCAGCATTTGTTTAATGCATGCGTTGTATGTATTGCAGAGTCATGCAGAGTCATTCACAACACTTGGTTTATCAATCCGTCGCTCCTAATCATAATTAGCATCAAATTAGTAAATGTATCATCTTGAGTTCCATCACTGTACAGATTAGCTGGAAAAGTTCAAATCTTTACGGTTATGTTTGAGTAATAGACATGAACTTTTCGTTACTGGTGGGATTCCCTTGTGGAGTCCACGATTGAATGTGACTGGATTCTGTTGATCATGTGAACATGCTCTGGTTTTAAATTCTGTGGGCTATTCAACCTTGTGCCATTTGGGATTTTGGAAGCCTGTGCTATTTATCGGACAACTGGGTTTAATAAGATAATGTTGTTACATTAGGTCTGACACAGTGTCATGGTAAATTCTTAGTTTACCTCAGATACTATAGATAAGGCAATAGGCGATATTTGAATAGATTTGAAATGTGGCTAGTGGGGAAAAGCATGAAAGAATAGATGAGAAGGGAAAATGGAGTTCTTGTGTCTGGAGATCAAAAGAAACCTTCCATTTGCACATGAGAATAATTATGCGTATTTTGAAGTAATTCCTTTTTTAACCAAATATTTATGTTGATTCTTAATTCTGCTGAATTTGCACTTGATACTATAGTAAGAGAAAATAATATGGATGAAATCGATATTTTCCTGTGATCCTATCTATAAGATGAAATGATAGAAATGAAATCTTTGGAGTTCATTTTCTCGGTTTTATATGTTTATGAACAGCGGAAATTAGAAACAGCATTAGTCCCACGCTCCCAGCTCCCAAGTCACATGGGATACAGGAAACGTTGTTATGGTAGAGGCATTTTTTTAACTTGGTCCTCATAGAATAATGTTTCCTCTCTCTTGAAGATCATAACCTTCCTTTTCTCCTGTTCTGCCTCTCTCTCTCTCTCTCTGGATGTAAACTTTTGAAACGTTTTGTGTTAACCGGTAAACTTTTTCATATGATGCATTTAATTGATTTTACAATCTGATAGGGTTCCATGCTTCCCACTGTTTCGTCTCACCCTTGTCTGATATGGTTCCTCTCTATTATGCTGATGATATGTTCAATGTTACCATCCAGAACTTGAATCTTTGACGATGCGATACTGGGCTGCTTCTGCCAGCTGCCTGTGTGTGCTGATTTTTCTCTGCATAACCATATCGTGTGCATCTGGGAATATTGCTCCACCTTCACGTAGTATTAGGCATGCAAAGTTTAGCTTAAGTTGCATAATATTGCACAATGCAGTGTGCTGTCTGACTCTTGGTACAGTATCTCTTACAAGTAAGTTTCCTGCATGTCTTTGAATCCTCTTTTCTGAATTGATAACATGGAAAGTGTTCTCTACTTATGCTTAAGCCAATAGTAATTGGAAAACTGAAACTTGATCTGCTCATTCCATACAGGCTTTGAGACTGCATTAAAGTTATTATGGATCCTCTCTCATGGATTGGCAGCTGTAAAATTAATTCAGCATGTTCTTAGAACTTTCCCATCATGTTCTTCCATTGGTATATGCCTTGCTACTTTTTCTATTTCACTTACTTGTTCTTGCAAAATGCAATGGAATTTTTCTTATTGATTGAAGGGGACAAAACGTAACTGCTAAACTGAAATGGTTGCTCTAGCTTCTTAGGAATAGATTGACTATTCACTGCATGCTCATGTTCCCCTCATGTTTTGGTGGCTTTCAGTGGTTACACAACTGAAAAAACATGAATATGCATTTGCCCAGTCGATATGTTAGTCTGGACATTTAAGTTATTTCTACATAATTGAGCACTTCAAGTTGAAGTGCTATATCATTAGTCAGCTAATGTGCAGATCTCTCTCTCTCTCTCTCTCACTTTATTTTTCTTTGTATTTATACCTCTCTCTGATGATTATTATGTTGGGGTATTTCTCTGGTTTTTTCTTAGTAGATGTTGATGTTGCATGTCTTTTGTTTCTCTCTAGGGGAGCGTGTTTAGTGACTTCAGGTCTTGTTCTCTATTTTGGTGACATATTGGCATATACCATTGAAAAGGTTATTTCTTTTCTGCTCTAATTAGTTTTTTTTTTTCTCTGGTCAAACTGCTTATATGTACTCATCCTATTGGTTATGACATTTCTCACACAGATGTCTGGGTTTTTTTATGAAATCAGAGGTGTTACATTATGGAAGTAAATGAAGTGAGATTAGTATTATTATGCAGGTATGCTTTCTTAATAGATGAAATTGATTGCAAGTGGTCTGGCGGGAAACCCATCATTCTATTTTATGCAGGGGTTGCTGCTTGGCCTTCTTTTCCCAATGGCCTTTAAATTTGTATTAAAACTGAATGTAATTAGTTTTGTTAATTCTTGTGATTAGTTAGGGTAGTCAAGGTTTTAGTTAAGGCAGTTAAGGGTATCTATGTAAATAGCCAAAAGGCTGTATATATCTCCACAGTGTGTAACTCATTATTCAGTTAATACAATTGAAAACTTACAGAGGAATTTTTCTGTTTCAATAATCCTCATCTGAAGTGAGGACAAACAACGGGATCTGGAGATCCGTTATCTTCTTTTCTTCACTTGGATTTATCATGATTGTGATCGAATCATAATGGATGCGGTTGGTTCAGGATTTTCATATGCATCCCCGTGTTATGGTACAACCTTTTCCAGTAATTTGTTCGATACTTGATACTTCAACTGGATTTTTTATTATCTTCTATACGACATGGTTATTAGGTTCTATTTGTTGGTTACAGTTGGTTTCACCATAGTTAGGTGGTTTATATTTCACATAACTGGTTCTGAAGTTCACAGACGTGTGGAATGCAAGCTTTCAATGGTATTTAATAGAAAACCACTGCTGCAGTCTGGGAACAAAACATCAAAGGGTCTGCATGCTAGTTGATATCGTGTATTGGCACCGATTCAACTGAAATAAAAAACTAGATAACAAACTAACCTCTGAATTAAGTCTCACTTCGTATTGGTGTGCACAGTTGCATAGCATGACTTAGTCAAGAATTTGAAATTAGTGATAACAGCAAAGCCGCTTTCCATTGGTTGTGATCACCCAGAATTGCAGTTACTGGGACCTTCTTTATGTTACATTTTCTATGTTTTTGCAACTTTACTAAAACACATCTACCATCTTTGTTATTAAAAAAATTTCACATAGTTTGAATGGTAGGTTCTACCAAAACCAGAGTTGTTAGGATCTTTTTTATGTTTGGGTTTGCTGTACTGGCATCGGATTTGATGTGCTCTTAGCCCTGGTGCATGGTGCATGGCGCATGGCGTATACTAGGTTACCTAATATAGAGTTGTAAGTTTGCAATGTTACACATATCACGTTGGTTCCTTGCACACAACTTGACTACATCCATCCATTTGCTAAAAAAATCATAAATACTTAAATTAGAGTCCAAAAAATCAATGGATTGCATATATCATGGTACAACAGAATTTTCAGTTTTTTAAGTTTTATTTATTTTTGACATTTAATCTACTTTTTATTCCCCATATATCATGGTACACTGGAATTCCAGTTTCAAGGAACGGGACTGCCGGAGACCCATGAATTGTGGTAATTGGTCTGGATTGTGGTTCGGTGAACCCTGCATAGCTTATGACTTGTATAAGGTTCCTTAATATTTTTTTTTTTGGTTACATATGTTGGCTATTTACTGTGAGAGTTTGTAGTTTTGATTCTGTTTACAAAAATTAGTTTATTCTGTCTGATGGCTGTCTTATGTCGGCATCAAATCTCTTTTTTCGTTTGGCAGGGTACTTTCATTTATTTTTTCAGAACCACTTAAGATATTATGTTTGTGTGCCTGCTCTTATCTTCCAGGTAATTTAGGACTAAAGATTGATTGTCATCCAAGTATATGTTTTTTATCGCGATTCTAATTATGTGTGTTTATATATGCTCCTTGTATGTTTCTTTTGCAGCCGGAGTCTCTTGATCTTTCATTTGGTGCAGCTTTGGCAGTTTTCTTGGCATTGGAAATTATTCGAGTAAGTTTTCAAACTAGAACCTTATGTTAATGTCTAAAATTGATCTCTTATGCAATAAGTAAAATCCACTTGTTGAGGACACAATATTGCCAAGTCAAAATTCTGTATTTGAATATTTTGGAAGGGCGATTCCTTTAAAAGCATGTTTGTGTGTGTGTGTGTGTGTGTGTGGGTGAGTGGGTGTGTGTGAGAGAGAGTGTGTGTGCATGTATATAATTGGGGATGTTAAAGTTGTTTTGAAGTCTATCTTCTTATATCATTTGCTTGACTATCTTTGTACAAGGTATGGAGAATTTGGCGATTAGGACAATCTGTACATAAATTTATGAATGCTTTCACTGATCATCGTGACTCAGATCTTCTTATTGTCAGGTATGGGATTCCTTCTTCCCCCTATATCAAAGCCCTAATATCATAAGTTTGATCCAAATAAGTTTCATGAGTTTTGTCTTTTATATTATATGTTTTGTCAGCCAACTTCCGCTCTTATTGGGATGCGCTCGTCCTATATGGATGTCTTCTGGGTACACTGATTGATCCCTTGATCCTTTTTCTGGAATTTTGGATCTCGGAATTGGAGATACAATGGTGAGTGTACTTGCACTCAAAGAACAGGACAGGAAACAACTATTTCTGAATGTTATTGTATTGGTTGTGTTTTTATGTCCAGGCATCAGTCGTTTAACTTTTTCTTCTTCATGGAGAAAACCATTGAAGGGACTGCGGCTGGTATAACATCTGTCTTAGCTGCTTGCTCAGTTCTGCTTCCCCTTCTAGCATCCACTGGATATATTCTTACAGAGGTGTGCATGTCTATCAATCTCTCCCTCTGCCAAACTAGCTATAACTGAACTGGGTTATTTTGTTAAACGGGTTTTAGAAAAGGATTTCGTGCATAAGATATTTATTAGTCGGACATCACAGTGTCAAGTCACTTAGTGAGTTGGGGTGCACTCTATGAACCAGATGAGTCATGCATGTGCAAGAAACTCTTGTCCATTAGTGTTTCCTAATTGGAAACAAGGTGCATACGCATCTAGTTGTCACCAAATTAGAATAATTTTGTGCTGCAGGTTTTTGCCGGCATGGTTGATAATGCTTGTGGTTTATATATGCTTTTGGTGCAACTTTTTTCAGCATTGGTGCTCTCTTCTCCTAGCCGTGGCCGTAAGTGGTATGTTGGAGGCTTACACAGCACAACTTGTTAATGCATTCGTACCGCTTATATTCTACAGCCTTCTGTGTTTGCAAATGGTGCTCCAACGTCCTGAACGAAAAATACATACGCCAGTGAAGAGAGCTTCCCAAAATCAGCTTCTTTTACGTTCGTGAGCTTCCCAAAATTACACGGTGAGAAATTCTGCAATATAAATATCATACTAGCTGCGCAATGTCAATATATACATGCATATATGTATCTGGTCGAGGAGTTCATGGGATGGGGTTTTGAAGGGATTGGACATCTGCCAGTTATATGATCCTTTCTTTTTTGTTTTTTGCTTTTTTTTAGAAAATGATGATAGTGTATTACACGAGCCGACCTATGGATAAAGTTTGGTCGTCGGACTATAATAATAGAAACCTTACTCTCTAAACCCGCACAAAATGGAAAGAAAGAACCAAGACTCCTAGATTAGCCATCAACTATGCTTCAGAACGATAAAAAGGACTAACTCCCTGATACGACCTTAATTAGCAATTTAGCATTGTGTTGTAATAGCATGACAACACGCTTAAATCTTACGACTTTTTCCATGCATATGTAGAGTAGGTAGGACCTTGCTGTTTCTTTTCTTGGATTTCCTCTCACTAATTAAAAATTCTTTGATAGCAAAAGCCATGCCAAAAATATCTGAACTCTATAATTGCGAACTCATCAAAAGATAATACAATTCCTCAACCAAAAAAGACGTTAGTTATAAACCCAAAACTCTAGCCACGAGGACTAAACCTTGCAATTTAACTAAAGGCACCATGAGGAAAGGCTGCACTGCCTTCTAATGATCTTGCAAATGTCGACAAAGAAGCTCTACTATAAATCACCTCCAACAAACATTGAGGGTCCTCCTCGTAGGCATATGCCAAGCGCATAAACCACAACAATCATCACTGCTAAGAGTTGAACAACAAACACCAAAGTTGTGACCACGACCACAACCACGAAAACTCTCCTTGACAAAGTGGGAGAGGGAGATCACAACCATTAAGACTTTCCTCGAAAGTACGAGAGAGCGACCACAGCTGAAAACATAGAGGGAAAGAAGGGAAGAGATCAAGCAAGATTCATGCCGACCCCAAGACTAGAGGCAAGAGATCAGGGGCTAGGATTTTTCTTCTTGTAGAGTTGTTATAAGTTACGTTACCCTAAACATAATTTTTAAATGAAAGTTTCTTATCTCCCAAGTAACTATTTCCTACCACTAAAATTGGACGAAAATACTTTGCAAGGGAAAATACACACCACGTACCAAATGTACCAGTCAGATATATTTGATAACAACGTCGGCAATGACTAGATACTGTAAATTGGACACCGATACCAGCCAAGAACGTCAATTTCATTATCAGAATATGCCGGAAAATAAATTTACAACCGCGCACATAAGCAGTTTTTGTGTGTTTGTCTCTCGAACCGTCCTTTTTGTTCCCTTCTGTAGCAACCTTGTTTACTATTTATTTGCTTAGAAAACACATGGAGCCTATGTCGAGGCCTTTTTCAATAATGAATCAATCTTGAAATTAATTGATGGCACGATGTGTCACTATTTATCGAACCTACGTACATTGCTTGGCCTTTCTATAGCAAAATATCTGGCTGGACAGCTAGATTTGATCCCACAAAACTCACCTTTTTCCTTGCGATCACAATACTTTCTGAGCTTTTTTCTCTTTGATTACACGTCATCGACAAAAAATGGTTGTGTTCGGGCTGGATTTCCCCCGCACAGCTCTCCGATGAGGTGGTATTATGTTGGTTGTCAGGCAAGTTCTTGCTGCTTGGTATGCTGTAAGATAAGTTTGTAGTTAGTTTGAAGGGTGCCTTTGTGGGTCCTTTGGTGTAGGCCTTGAGACTCGCAGTCAAAGCTAACTGAGATCTGAGAGTGCCACGGTTATCTTAGTATAACAAATTGTTGAATAGGTATGAGTTAAGTTGATTACTTGCGCCCCAAGTTACTCAAACTTCTCGTTTATCAAAGGATTGACGGAGATAGGTTAAGTCTGTATTAAGTTCTTTTTCTTGCCTTGTAAACAAGAACTTTTATAGTTCATAGTCTTGTAAGTCCAAAATGAAGGGAGTTCAAGGCCCTTTCAACCAATTCTTCGATCAAGGTTTATTTTAATGAAACTTGTTTTATTAACTTCTTTGGATTCAGTTGCAAATGAAGCTTTTAATTTGTAAAATAGTTGAAAATGACTTGAATACATAAGGGAACATGCATTAAACAATAGATCTAATACATATGAGTACAAACAAAAGAGATTCGGCAAGATTTCACCTTGTCGGGTAAGGTTGAACTTCTTGCAACCACTTCTCTTTATGTTTACAGTGGTTTGTATGCTAGGAGGGATGGAAAGTAAATAGGTTTTACATGAGGGAATCGATACTACAACACTAAGGGATGGTAGCAGAGCTTTTACACTAGACAAAAAATGGCTTTTCTAAGGGAACTATAGTTAAAAGGACTGAATATGGACAAGTTTAAGCTTCTGGGTACGAACTGGCTTGAGAGCAGAGTATGTATATCTTTTGATTGGTTGGTTGAGTGTCCTTGTCTCTGGTGTCTCTTTCTCCTTTTATAGGCAATTTGGCCCGACTGTTTGCTTTCGAAGGGCAGTGAGTCATCTTTTATTTACTCATTTATGCCATCAGAAAGTGCTTTTTGGCTGGTGGTGAGTTGGTCTCTGTCACCCATCACTTCAATCATAGGCACATGGCCTATGCTTTAGCTGAAATGACTTCAATTTGCTTCAAGCCTATCGACTGGGCCATGGGCAAGTCTCATTTGCTTTGGTGCCTTTGGGCTTTCACTAACACAAAGGCCAATGTTAAATATTAACCGAGCCATGGGGCTTGGTGTTGAGCCACTGGGTGCAGTCTGATTCGGACCACAGGCTCGTAGCCGCAATGTTCTTGCTGAATGTGGTTGTAAAAATGGGTCCAATGGCATAGAACTTCATCTTGGCTTGCAGGGCTAATATGGTCTCTGACTCAATCTCCTGCACTGTGTTGCACAGGTGAAAATGTGCACCTCTGGCGTCCTTGAAGGCATTGAATATGATTTGGTGGCACACAGATGTTGTATCAGCGTCCTGAAGATATGACATCATGTCTTTGGGGTCGATTGCTCGCACTCCTGGTATGTAATCTATGGTGTCCTCTCGCACATCTACATAAAACACGATACCTTCGTTTAGCCCCCAATGAAGACCAACTATATATATTGTCCGACTGTGAATCAAACCGTTGATTAAGTAACTTTATGGGTACGATGTAATATTGCCAAACATCTAACATGTTAGGTTAGGATGCTACAATGTATGTAACTCCTATGCCGAACAAAATTTCACATGACAAATGATATAGAGAGTAGAGGGCGTACGAGTTTGACATGTCAGCTGTCATAAAGTTTATTTGATTAAAAGAACAAACTGACAATGTTAACATATACTTCGTTACCCTATTAAGAGCAGTAACTTACCCTGACATGCAAAATGGCCATGCATTTGAAGAAGATCAAGATGATAACACAATGAAAAAGCCAAAGCAGTTTCTGTCCAAAATGAAACGTAAATAATCCCAAACTTCTTGGCAATCTTCAAGGGCCACACGAAAAACGTGTCAGCAATTATACAAGTGACCGGTGTGGTGTCAGCCGAAGACTTCACAACCTTTCCCACCACCTCATCTACGTGGGCCGAAAACACATGCAACAAAGAAGCCATGAACTGGTCACTCAATAACATAACACATAATAACTCATTAGAAACCCAAAAGTGCTTCAACATAATCATTCTGACAAATACATATGTGCATTTCTTCGAGATTTGACAAATACATATCATGCATTTCTTTGAGATTCTTGTCCAAATCAGCTCATTTGGTATACATGATTGTATAGAAATGGATAAATTAAGGGTGTGTTGAAGGAGAAATTATAAAATTATGATCACCTCGAGGTTATTTCATGTGAGTTTTTGTTATTGTTCTTAATGCTTTGAATGTCTAGCCAACATTTAATTGATTTGATCAGGGCCGGTCCAGAGATTTTTGACTCCCGGGGTGACGCCAAAAAAGGTGCCCAAACTTCATATAAGAAAATTATATATTTTCACACGTAAGACATTGATAAAATTGTACTTAGAAAAGTACTTCAAACTCAATAATTTAGAAACACAAAAAGACTAATTTATTTTGTATTGAGAGAAGAAAACCAAACAACTCTGGGCTTATAAGTAGATAGATGATGAGTTTTGTTTTCCATTTGAATTTTGAAAGTGTTTTTGTATAAATCATGAGATGTTTTTTCTTATTTACTAACCTTGTCAATATGGGATTAAAAAAATAATGATGTTTTCGAGTCTTTAATTGATATGTATTAGTAATGAATGAGCATTAAATTAAATATTTTGATAACACGTCATATAATTTACAAATTTGCACTACAAATTTGGTCTACGTATTACTCATTGTTGAAGATTAGACTTGAATTGAAACGAATATTTAAAAATAACAAGCTACATAACTACTAGCTAGTAACTAAAAATAAATTAACAACCAAACAAAAATTTGTTAAAATTGAAAAAAATAAACATGCCCATAGCGTTTCGAACTTAGGACCTCTTGCTAATTTTAAACAACAAAAACCATTGCTTCTAATTAAACTTCTTGATCCTTTAACCAAATTTTATAAATTTATACTCTTCTGAAAAGAAATTTTTAAAAATTAAAAAGTAAATAAGCACATGTGGTGTTTTGAACTCAAGACCTCTCATTATTTTCAAATGACCAAACCACCTCTTCTACTTAAATTTCTGTGTCATTGAACCAAATTTTATAAATTTATACTCTTATGAAAACATATATAAATATACCACCCTAATAATTTTGGTGCCCCCAATATTTTTGGGCCCCGGACGGTTGCCCTGCTTGCACTGGGCCTGGGCCGGCCCTGGATTTGATGACCAAATTGAGACAGAAAAATGATATTTGGTGTATGCTTCTTGTAACCAATGACATGTTTTAAATGAGTGATGGGAATGGACTAACATGATTCATGCCGTTTCTCTTGCAGATTTTCCATACATCTTAGTGGATTCTTGGTTTTCTAATCTCGTTGCACATAAGAGAATGAGTTGTTAATTAATAATATTTTGGCTTTTACTCAAAATGGTCCATGAGATTGGCATAATTCCTCACTTTGATATTTGAAATTTAAAATTAAGAGAACTGGTCCTGAGATTGACTATAAGATGACTAAATTTGCCATTCTTTGCAGACAATCATTTTTTGTAGCAAATTGGTTCATTGCGAGGTGTAGCTTGATAATTTTCAACTTTATGATGGTTTTGTAGGATCTGGTCACTACTGCCTCTGGCCTGGACCCTAGTGGTGGACAAGGACACCACCAAGCTGGCGGCAGCAGCAGTGGTGGAGGCGACGCCGGAGGTGGTAGTTTCGAGAGCGATGCCCGAGGTGGCAAAGATGATGGAGGCGATGGAGGTGACGCCGGAGGTGGTGAAGGCGGCGACGCCGGAGGTGGTGGAGGTGAAGGCGGCAGCGATGGAGGTGGTAGAGGTGACGGCGCGCAGCCTTTAGTAAGAAGACCTGTGAATCTATACCAAAATCAGCTTGGTGAAGATGTCTTCGTTGCGATATTTTATCCCAAAGAGTACGCTAATTTATGGGCGTTTCTTCCAGCAATACGAGTGCGGGAATGGCGGCCGTTGGACCAGATTTGGTACATTTACCGGGACAGTGCTACCAGAGCTCTGAGGCTAATAGATGGGACTGCCGACCTCTCCCTTCTTGGCTGGTCAACGATCCGGGCTGGTTTGACCAAGATTGTGCTATCCTTACGCGTCCACGGGACGATTTCCGTAAAAATAAGGGCAAGAGTAAGAGTTGTTGAGGAGGGGGCTGAGCAGCAGGCTGAGGAGGAGGCTGAGCAGGATCTTGATGGGCCAGTCCGCTACCATATCCACCGGGAGGAGGTAACCACCTTGGAACGGTTCAAGATACTAATATTTTGGTCTCCAGTTTATACAGCATTTAGGGCCGATGAGCAATGGCTTGATTTCAGTACGGTGTACATCATGGGCACCGGTGAGCGACTAAGTTGGAGACAACTTTGTGATCACGTCGAGGTCACTAGTTGGGAACAGGTGCCCATGATGTGATCACAAAGTAGACTTCCCAACTAGTGACCTCGACGTGATCACAAAGTTGTCTCCAACTTAGTCGCTCACCGGTGCCCATGATGTACACCGTACTGAAATCAAGCCATTGCTCATCGGCCCTAAATGCTGTATAAACTGGAGACCAAAATATTAGTATCATGAACTGTTCCAAGGTGGTTACCTCATCCCGGTGGATATGGTAGCGGACTGGCCCATCAAGATCCTGCTCAGCCTCCTCCTCAGCCCCCTTCTCAACAACTCTTACTCTTGCCCTTATTTTTACGGAAATCGTCCCGTGGACGCGTGAGGATAGCACAAGCTTGGTCAAACCAGCCCGGATCGTTGACCAGCCAAGAAGAAAGAGGTCGGCAGTCCCATCTATTAGCCTCAGAGCTCTGGTAGCACTGTCCCGGTAAGTGTACCAAATCTGGTCCAACGGTCGCCATTCTCGCACTCGTATTGCTGGAAGAAATGCCCATAAATTAGTGTACTCTTCGGGATACAATATCGCAACGAAGACATCTTCACCAAGCTGATTTTGGTATAGATTCACAGGTCTTCTTACTAAAGGCTACGCGCCGTCACCTCTGCCACCTCCATCGCTGCCGCCTTCACCTCCACCACCTCCGGCGTCGCCGCCTTCACCACCTCCGGCGTCACCTCCATCGCCTCCATCATCTCTGCCACCTCGGGCATCGCTCTCGAAACTACCACCTCCGGCGTCGCCTCCACCACTGCTGCTGCCGCCAGCTTGGTGGTGTCCTTGTCCACCACTAGGGTCCAGGCCAGAAGCAGTAGTGACCAGATCCTACAAAACCAGCATAAAGTTGAAAATTATCAAGTAATACTAGTCTTTTAACTTTTTGTTCGGGTCACAAAAAGGCAGAATACAGAAAACATCCAGGACTAGAGGCCAGCAAGACAAAAATGAATTACAACCAAGAGCCGGAACAGAGACTAGTAACACAGGCCAGGCCAAACTACACTGAAATACAACACACAACCAAAAGACAACCAGAGAGATAACAGAGGTTTTGCTATTCAGACACATTTAAGTCAACTTTAACTAGTTGGGAAGCAGTGAAATATATGACTCGAGTGTTTCCAGAACGTGAAATCACCTTTCTCAGTCAGATATATACACAAAATGCAGCTTCAAAACTGAATGATCAGCCTATATACTAGCAAAATCTGCATATAAATATAACCTATAGCTTCTACTTCGTTGTCCAGACAGGTAAAGTTAATTACTATCAACTCAGCATATTCACCCTGTACTTTTTTCATATAGCTTTACTTTTAGATACCTTGCCTATCAAAACAACATGAAACAAATCGAAACAAAAACGGAGAGTACCTTCAAACGGTCACAATCAGGCAAAGGCCTTGGCACTTCTCCGTGGTTCAAAAGTTTTTCCACAAACTCAGTTACCAGAATAGGTTCATAAAATGCTCCGGTTGATACATCTGCAAATATGTGAACAAAAGTTAGTCACAACACTCTTGTTACTTAACTTCATATGATTATCAGATCAGAACAGGGAAATTTTGGTTAATGCGTTACCTATATTGAGCATGACCCCAAGTTGAGTCGGCCCTAGGCTCAGGTAAAAGCCTCCCCGGTATTCCAGACCCGCACCAACATCAACTTTCTGCCGAGGCTCAATGGCGAAATAAGACCTCCCGACAACAGTGCACCTGTGATAGAAATTACAACGATCAAGACCGTCGTCAGTGAGGAAACAACGCATACAAGGAAAAAATAAATCTTAAGCCCTTCTACCAAAGAGAGACCTTACTTTTCATCAAGTGTGGTCCTAAGAACAACATCCAGAGCTTGAATTGCATCTTGAGGCGACTCATGCTGATGGCTTAGCAGGAACTGTCGCGGCTGATGCACATCTGGTTTGCTAGCCAGTTTGAGAGTGACCTTGAACTCTCGGTCCCTCCTGTAAGCCATTTAAATACAAAGACAGCGACATTCAAAAAACCGCAACAAAGACTGTACTACTGAAGTTCTACTCTTATCTTCTAGAATGAACCTAAAACGCAAGGATGGATAATAAGTTGTTAATGTTGTGTTACCATGGAACACCACCATAACTCAGTTTGATTTTCGTTTCATATTTACATCTATGATATTGCGAATTCAATCAAAATAGCACAAATGAAAGTAGATAATGAGCATGAAAGTTCTAGTTCTACATTTCAAGCGAGTCAAGTACCACAACAATCTACATACGTATAAACAAGATATAAGAATAAACGTCGAGAAGATTACGAGACTCTCACATCAACTTGCTCAGCAGTTCCACTGAGACCCCAGTGATTTTGTAAGATCTATTATCACGACAAGAAAGTGCTACCTTGAACCCCTTTAAGGCCTTCTCCACCTGTAAGTAACAGAATACCAATCAGTTTTGTTCAACACAAATACTTTAAGTAACCATTTATGGAAAAATACAAGTAAATACATAAAACTCCGAACAAATTAATCTACGTGAATATCTACACCTGATCCAAAGGAAGTGAATCCGAAATCAACAAGTGAATTCAAAATAAAAGCAAATGATTACATGCTAAAACAGAATGCAGCTTCAAAACTGAATGAGCATAAATACTAGCAAATCCGGGTAAATATAAGCTACACCTAGTATACAGAACTTGTATTTCGTTTTTCAGACCGGTAAAATATAACAACAAACTATCAATTCATCATATTCACGTTGTATTTTTTTTTTCTTCATATAGCTTTACTTTTGGATAATTTCCCTATCAAAACTGCATGAAAAAAAATCAACACAAAAATGGAGTGTACCTTCAAACGATCACGATCAGGCAAAGGCCTTGACAGTTCTCTGTAGTTCAAAAGTTCTTTCACAGACTCAGTTACCAGAATAGGTTCATAAAATGCTCCGGCCGATACATCTGCAAATACATGAACAACAAAAGTTAGTCACAACACTCTTGTTACTGAAGTTCTAATGATTATCAAAACAAAGAAATTTTGGTCAATGCCTAACCTATATTGAGCCAAAACCCATACTGAGTCGGCCTTAGTGGTAGAAGCCTCTCCAGTATTCCAGACCCTCACCAAGATCACCTTTCTGCCAAGGCTCAATGGTGAAATAAGACCTCCCTCCAACAGTGTACCTGTGATAGAAATTACAAGGATCAAAACCATCGTCAGTGAATAAACAACGCATACAAGGACAAAAGAAATCTTATGCCATTGTACTAAATAGAGACTTTACTTTTCATCAGGTGTGGCCCTAAGAACAACATCCAGAACTTGAGCTGCGTCTTGAGGCGACTCATGTTGCCCGGTTCGTAGCGACTGTTGCAGCTGGTACAGGTCGTGTTTGCTAGCCAATTTGAGAGTGACCTTGAACTCTCGGCCCCTCCTGTGAGCCATTCTGATGCAAAGAAAACAACATTCAAAAACCGGAAACAAATACTAAAAAAAAGGCCGTACCCAGTGCACAAGGCTCCCGCTTTACGCAGGGTGAAATTCTACTCTTGTCTTCTAGACTGAAGGTAAAATGCAAAGATGGATAATAAGTTATTAATGTTGTTGTGCTACCATGGAACACCGTCATAACTCAATTTGATTTTCTTTTCATATTTACCCCTTTTGATATATGATATTGCAAATTCAATCAAAATAGCTCAAACGAAAGTAAATAATGAGCCGTCCAGATACAGAGAAGAAAAGAGTCAGAAAACTGCAACAGCTACAAAATATATACGTAAACAAAACAGCACACAAGCACGGAACTCTGATACAGATTATACCTGTTGGGACCAGCAGCAGCAGAACCCTGCCGTCCATCCGTTTCGGCCAACTTGACCACAAACTCTTTCATGGAAAATGGTAAGGGCCCTGCTGTATGAACACTTTTCATGCCATCGTAAGCTGCAGGCTTTCTCTTTCCCAGGCAGTGAAGAAAATATCGATAATATCGGCGATATTTCGCTGATATTATCGTTTTTTTGGGGTTCCGATATTTTTTTAACTATCCAAATTGTTTTCGGCAAAATATCGCGATATTATCGATAATATCGATAATATCGCGATATTTTCGAAACTATCGCGATATTTTGGAACTGTTCAAATCGGAGAAGAACGCAAGAGCAAATTAACCGAATCCCTAAATCCCCAAATTCGAATTCAAAGCAAATGAACTGAATCCCTAATTCCTAAATCCCTAAAATCGAATTCAGTACAAAAATGAAATTACATGCAGAAAATTCGAAATCTGTACAAAAATTAAATTACAAACCGAGAAGAAGAGAAGTAGGAGCCTGGGAACGTCGTCTTCCTCACGAATCCAAGACGGCTGGGACAACGTCGTGCTCCTCACCGACGACTACGATGAATTTCGGTCCATCGTCCGGTGTCCGCTGCCTCCGCTCAGTTTCTCCACAATCGTTGATTTGCTATGACGCGACAGTTACGACTCGACGACTGGGACTAACGACACAGCTTCTCCATGGAACAAGGTGGTTTAGAAGGCGGTTATGGAGTGGTGTCGACGGCTGGGTTTGAAAGCAGCTGCATGCCGGATCTCAACGCACCCTCTCGAAATACCGCAGCAAAATGCGGTTTGAAAGCAGTTGCATGTCGGATCTGAAAGATGAAGGAGGATGATCGCCGCTGGGGGTGGGTAGAGGACATGGCCGGATCGGGAAAGGACGCAGGAGAAAGCAAAAAGAAAAACAGAAGAAGAAAAGAAAGAAGAAAAGACAGAGGAACAGACCGAGAAGGGAAAAACAAGAGAAAAACAGGAGGAGGAAGGGGGAAAGGGCAACCGACTCCAGCCGAAGCCAGAGTCGGCGCCGGAGAAAATGGGGTGAGAGAATGAGAGTTCGAGAGAGAGATAGAGTTGAGAACTGAGAGAGAGTGAGGGGTCCGAGAGGGACTCGGGAAAAGAGAGAGAGAGATAGGGTGAGGTGAGGGGTCCGAGAGGGACTCGGGAAAAGAGACAGAGAGAGATAGGGTGAGGTTAGTGGTCTGCCACGTGGCAGCGTGACAGAGGGTGAGAATCAAGATGGAGGGTCCAGATTAGATTAGGATAAAAGACTCAATTGTACAATTTATATAATTTCAGGGAAAGAGTGAAAATATAAATTAATCTGGGGGTTCAGATTAGATTAGGATAAAGGACTCAATTTCAGGGAAAAAGTGAAAAATATATAATTTCAGGGAAAGAGTGAAAATTTTGAACCTTAAAGAGTGAAAAATTTGTCAGCTCGCTATATAATCAACTTAAATCAGTTAAATCCATCATGCAATGCATTTCCTTCCAATTTTTTGTGATAAACTAATAGATAATTGACTAAATAAAACATCCTGCAAAGTTTCATTAAAAATTTCCAAGTTTTTCTTACAATTTCCGTGGTTTCTATGTAATTTTTATCGATATCGATATTATCCCGATATTTCCATCGATATTTCCGTGTTTTCGGACTACCGATATTTTCGATATTACCGATATTTTCTTCCTTGTTCCCAGGTGAGACTCCTTGAACAGACGAACAAGCTGCTTAATGACATCCCTGTTGATCTTTTTTGATGCAATTTCAGAGGTTATCGATACCTACAGCCACCAATTGAGGTTATAAAACACCCCGCAACCACATAACCAAAACAACAGCACTCAACCGTTTCCAAAAAAAAAAAAAAAAAAAAAAAACAGCACTCAACGTCTTAAAATTGCAATCGAGCATACCACCAGTTGATACATGCTGGTGATTTTGGAATCCCAAAACGCCATGAGCGACTCAAATTTACAGCACTAGACTTGAAAAACCAAGACGACGACCCACAAAAAATTATGAAAATAAATAAAAAATAATAATAATATTGAAAACACAATGACGATCGACGTACGCTCAAAAGTCCCAAGCATCTGAACAGAAACGTAGCGAATTATTTTTACTCTTTGTGATGTGATGCCTTCTGTACTCTGTAATTTTATTTTGGAAGACGACTTCTTCTTGTGATGATCATGTTTTGTTGTTTGAAATTTTCAGGGAACATTCTCTGCAGATGCGAGATTCCAGGAGTTACTGTTATTCCGAGACCCATTGAACCATTGGACCATTGGAACTCTTCATTTTACAAGGCTAGCATGGTAAGAATTGAGCTGAATCTAATATATATATATATATATATATGTTTACATCCGTCCTACTCCCTACTTATGCATTGTGTGTGCATGGATACTATGTTCTAATTTGATCCCCTATGCACATGATTCCGGACAAGGCTATGCATGCAGACAAATCTAGGCTCACAGACGTAAATCTCTCCTCTACCTCGTACAAAGAGGCAATGTGCGTTTCCAGCTCCCTTGTGCTTTACCTGTCTTCGTTTGCTTCGATGCAATGGAAATGGAATAATGGGATCGTTATTTTTCTCATCTACGCTTTTGATGTATGTTCAGGTCATTTTTGGAGGAGTACAATGAATACACTATAAATGCTTGGAAATTGAGGGATAGCCAACCAGATCTTGTCCCAGTAAGTTTTTGACTGCATCGTTATGTTGTTTGGTTTTTCTTCATTTTCTTTTCCTCCTATGCATTCAATGGAGGTAATAACCTGTCCCTATTCTAATTTGAGCTTCCGTGCAGGTTAGCGTTGAGAAACTTGCAGGGAGTAACATTCCTGGGTTGGAGATGACAAAGTTAGTCTCGGATTCCTCTTTTGCTTTGGCTATCTTTATGTTTATCACTATAATGGAATGGGATTGTCCCTTGTTTTATGTATACTTTCGGTATATCATTTGTTCCAAAATCCATCTTGAAGGGCCAGTACTACTTGTCATGCCCACAGATAGCATTTAGTCACGTGTGAAAACAAAACGAAACAACAAAAAAACAAAAACGTGGACCGGGGGGGGGGGGGGGGGTGATTGATCTGATACATCAGGTGATGTTCTAAGACTATTTACATCGTGGTTAACACGAAATGGCTGCCTAGGCAGCGACGACTTCCTACCAAACAATTTTCATACTCCATGTAATTATATAACATTTGCATGCAAAAAAGAAAATGTGCTTGATATTGCATAGGCAAACTCCAACCTAACTTGTCTTCATATCCTATCTTGGATGAAGGGGCTCGTGCATGGTTTTATGGCCTATTATTGTGTGTCTCTGACTGCAGGTACCACGTCCGTCGTGATGTGCCTCTCAAAAAGTTTGTTAATTATATTCGAAATTGTGTTCGAATTCGAGCAGGCCAACCTATGTTTGTCTATTTCAACAACACTGAACCTCACAGTGGTGAGCATGGCTGCAATCCATTTTTGCCGAAGGCATAATACTATTCATCCTGATTCCGCATCAACTGCTGTTTTAATAACTATCTTCTTCTTGCTCTGTTACAGGGGCCTTGATGTCTGAAATTGATGATGCAAATAAGGGTGAAGATGGATTTCTTCACATGACCTATAGCGGGGGAGAAGAGAAAGGGGTACTCAGTAGATGCATTGATAAATTACCATTAAGAATTGTAGTTCACACATGTTTATTTCTTAGTCATTCAATGAACATACTCCTGTTCTAATTTGAATGTTTTACGTAGATTGTTGAGTATGACGCTCAAATGTGTGACTTAATTCTTGGCGAGGTCGTCAAGATGAAGAAGAGGAAGTTAGTCTTCAACTCAATTCACTGTGCTTTAAATATCTCGATTTGTATTTGCTACTATGGAATAAGATTATTCCCTTCACTTATGCTTGTAGGATAAAAGGGGATTTTATTTTGTCAAAAGGCATTGTTATGTTAGACACTTGGAATGATCATCTTAACAAGGAGCATATGGTAAGAATTTGAACTTGTATCGAGTATTTTTACGTTCTACACATTCCAGGGATATACCGTTCTAATTTGAGTTTTGCTATGCATGTGATGGCGGAGTAGGCTCAGCTTGAGGAGAAGGCTGCGCTCGAGGGAAAACCTGCTGCTGAATTATCCACTTTTATCGGAAAGCAGTTAGTTTCCAGTTCCCTTGTGCTTTTAATTCTCTTGATTTGTAGTTCTAAATTGAAACTGATGGGTTAGTTAATTTTACATGTATGGTTTTGAGTTATGTTCAGTTTATGGGAGTTATGCCAAGAGCGTGAGCTAAATCCTTGGCTGTTGAGGAAGAAAAGACCAGATCATATACCAGTAAGAATTTGACCACGTCAAATGTGTTAATTCTCTCTATGAATTAATACCTTCTTGTGTAATTTGAGTCTTTGTGCTGTGCAGGTGAATGTGAAGAAGGATACAAGCAGTAAAAATTCCTGACATTTGCATGAAGAAGTTAGTTCCCGACATCTTTTTGCTTTATTTTCTTGATTTGTGAACAAGATTGTCCCCTTTTATACGTATGCTTTATTTTTGCTTTCCTTTTGTTATGTCATTCGTTACGAAGTCGGTCAGAAAAAAGAGGGAAGAGAAATAAGTAAGTTATATTGCTTGTCTATGTGAAGGGGTTCGCACACAGATTTATCGCCTACACTGTGTTTGTGACTGCAGATTCCAAGTTCATTTCGATTTGCCTCTGAGCGAATTTATTGAGTTTATTCGGATTCGGATCGAGTGGAAAGAAGGAAGGCCATGGACAAAGCCTTTGTTTCTCTATTTCAAGAACACTGATCCTCCCGCTGGTAAGCAGAGCTGCCAAAATATTTTGTTTTAGAGCGACAATCGGCATAAGGATATCCATCCATCTTGTTCCCAAACTGTGGTAATAACTCTAATTTCGTCCAATGTTGTTGCACACAGGTACCTCGATGTATGTAATCGATAAGGCAAATAAGGATGACGACGGATTTCTTAACATCACCTACAGTGGAGAAGAGAAAGGAGCCTGGACGCAGTTAAACAACGGGGAGTTTGCTCATAAAGTAAAAATCTAAGAGCTAGGAGTCAGTAATGTGAGCTACTTAGAGGATATGACATAGTTGAAGACTTAAAACTGATATTGAGACGAATGGCGTTGCATTGGACTTTAAAATGCATCGAGTTGAAATGTTTTATCACCGACTTTGCTTACAGATGATTTGTGTTTTTATACAATGATATTTAGATGCATTGGAGTAGTAATGTTTTGATGTTTTTTCTGTTGTTATTTGTCTAATTTTGTTGACATGCTTGTTACGCTGTGTGTGTTGGCTACTATATTGTCTCTTCAGGACATCCTTCAAGTTGATTCTGGCGTAGGCGCTTGCTGCCGAACGACTTGGGCTGGGCTTGGTCGGTGGCTGCCAAACGACTTGGGTTGAGCTTGGTTGGTGGCTGCCGAAATATTCCACTGATTTCAGTCGGTGGCTGCCAAACGTCTTCGGTCGTGTTTGATTGGTTGCTGTCAAAATAAAAATTGAGAGAGGTGTATGAAAAGTAAAAATAGTTTGTAAATAGCGGTACCTTTTTTTTTTACAGGGTTATTTATTTATGTTTGAAAGTCATAGTCGAATTAGACCACAATAAAATAAAGGATTAAGTACTTAGAACTCCCAACCTTTAGTGTCACTCTAAATTGGTCTAAAGCTTTTTAACATTCCAAATAAGCACTCAACCTATTGAATATGTCACATCTGTTAACCCCAGTTGAAAGTTTGTTAAATTAAGTAGGCTTACTTTGTCTCCAAAATCAATAGAAGGTCATGGAAGCATAGCCTTCACCAACTAACAGTTACCACCACCCGCATCATGTTATCACCTTCAAACTTAATGCAAAACCACCAACTCCACCCTACAACTTAGGCTGCCAATATCAAGAAGGTCATAGAGGTTGCTGAAATGGTATGAACTGCCATGATGTGACGACCACCATCTTCATCGTCCGCAAAGAAGAACTAGAAGCTTTACCAATCGAGAATCGTCACAATAAGGAAATCACATGAGCAGGAACAACTCCTTGAAACCCTTTCTGAAATCTTAAACCTCTTCTCTGTTAAGAGATTGCCCTACTGATGTAACTTCAATTTGGGTCTATTTTCGACAATTCAATACCTTTTTGGTTGGGTTCTATTTTGTATAATTTATATTTGAAATTTAGATTTTGAGGCAATCAATGTTAATATTGTCCATAGTATAACCAGTTGGGGCGCTTGAAATATAATTCATGTTTGAAAAATTAATTGGGGTTAACAAATGTGACATTTTAATAAGTTGGATATTTATTTAGTATTTAAAAAGGTTGAGAACAATTTAAAATGACATATCTTAATTGTTAAAAAAAAAAAAAACAAAGGAAAAAGGCGACAAGTTGGTGCCAATTCCCGCGAAAAAAACCCAACGACTCCTACCTCTCATCGGTCCTTTCTCCGATCCTTCAATCGATTCCAATTCCGTCGTCTCGAAGATAGAACAAGCTTAGGATCGCCAATTTCAATGGCGGCCATGGCATTTGCGATGGCCGGAATGATGAACGGAGAGAGAGCTGTGGTGTTGCTGTTCATTTCTCGCGTCCTCTTCTCTCTCACCATCTCTCTCCTCGCCCTCTCCCTCGACATCCTCACTGATTCTTCCACCTCCCTCTCCCAATTTAGCACCAGGTACTACTCCTACTCTTCTCCTTCAGTTTTTTTTCAATTGCTCTTGTTAGGGTTCGTCCAGTGTTGAATGTGGGCATTGACTGTAATTTTAATGTTTCAGGCCTGGTGCTTCGTCGGGTATACTGTTAGGGGCTGTCGCGTTGCCCACTGTTTTCATATCCAAAACGATACAGCTTTCGCTGGCGGTTTCGTTGCACCAAGTTTCTATTGAAGGTACTTTGTGTAGTTTTCAATTCACCGTTATCCGTCGCTCCTAATCTTAATTAGCATCAAATTAGTAAATGTATCATCTTGAGTTCCATCACTGTACAGATTAGCTGGAAAAGTTCAAACCTTTACGGTTATGTTTGAGTAATAGACATGAACTTTTCGTTACTGGTGGGATCCCTTGTGGAGTCCACGATTGAATGTGACTGGATTCTGTTGATCATGTGAACATGCTCTGGTTTTAAATTCTGTGGGCTATTCAACCTTGTGCCATTTGGGATTTTGGAAGCCTGTGCTATTTATCGGACAACTGGGTTTAATAAGATAATGTTGTTACATTAGGTCTGACACAGTGTCATGGTAAATTCTTAGTTTACCTCAGATACTATAGATAAGGCAATAGGCGATATTTGACTAGATTTGAAATGTGGCTAGTGGGGAAAAGCATGAAAGAATAGATGAGATGGGAAAATGGAGTTCTTGTGTCTGAAGATCAAAAGAAACCTTCCATTTGCACATGAGAATAATTATGCGTATTTTGAAGTAATTCCTTTTTTAACCACATATTTATGTTGATTCTTAATTCTGCTGAATTTGCACTTGATACTATAAAAAAAAAAGGTCGTACCCAGTGCACAAGGCTCCCGCTTTACGCAGGGTCTGGGAGAGGTGAATGTCGGCTACTATAGTAAGAGAAAATAATGTTGATTCTTAATTCTTAATTCTGCCTCTCTCTCTCTCTCTCTGGATGTAAACTTTTGAAACGTTTTGTGTTAACCGGTAAACTTTTTCATATGATGCATTTAATTGATTTTACAATCTGATA